TATATATATATTCTTCCCTCTTTGAACAGTTCTAATGAGTGAGATTCAAGCATTGCCTACCACTTTCCACCCCTATTTCCCCCTTCACTATAAAAGCTCTTCCTTGTGCACTTCTTTTATGTGAGAACATTTTCCCCATTCTACCTTTCCCTTCTCTCTTCTCCCAGTGAGAACCTCTTTCTCACCTCCTAATTTTTTTTTAGATCATTCCAACATAATCCAATTAGACTAATGCCTTGTATCTATAGGTTCCTTCTAACTGTCCTTATAATAATAAAATTACTAGGAATTACCTGTATCATCTTCCCATATAGGAATATAAATAGTTTAACTCCATTGAGTCCCTTATAATTACTCTTTCATGTTTACCTTTTTATTCTTCTATTTTGTCTTGTGTTTGAATATCAGATTTTCTGTTCAGCTCTGATCTTTTCATCAGGAATGTTTCAAAGTCCTCTGTTTCATCAGATGTCCATTTTCCCCCTGAAGAATTACAGTCAGTTTTGTTGGGTAGGTTATTTTTGGTTGTAGTCCTAGCTGCTTTGCCTTCTGGAATATTATATTCCAAGCTCTCTACTTCTTTAACATGGATGCTGCTAAATCTTATGTGATCCTGACTGTGGCTCCATGATATTTGAATTGTTTCTTTCTGGCTGCTTGCAATATTTTTTCCTTGACCTGGGAGCTCTGGAATTTGGATAGAATATTCCTGGGAGTTTTCATTTTGGGATCTCTTTCAGGAGGTGATCAGTAGATTCTTTAAATTTCCATCTTACCCTTTGGATCTAAGATATTGGGGCAGTTTTCCTTTATAATTTCTTGGTTTATGATGTCTAGGTTTTTTTTTTTTGATCATGGCTTTCAGGTAGTCCAATAATTCTTAAATGATTTCTCTTCAATCTATTTTCCAGGTCAGTTGTTTTTCCAATGAGATATTTCATATTTTCTTCTGGTTTTTTTTTCATTCCTTTTTACTTTGCTTGATTGTTTCTTGATGTCTTGTGAAGTCATTAGCTTCCAGTTGTCCAATTCTAATTTCTAAGGAATTATTTTCTTCATTAAGTTTTTGTATCTTTTTTCCATTTGGCCTATTATGCTTTTTAAGGAGTTCTTTTCCTCAGTGAATTTTTGTGCCTTTCTTACCATTAGGCCAAATGTATTTTTTAAAGTGTTATTTTCTTCAGGGTGTGTATGTATGTGTAACTCACAACCCTTAGTCCAATTGTATTTTTTAAATTGTTATTTTCTTCAGGGTGTGTTTTGTGTGTGTGTGTGTATGCACGCACATACACACTCTCTTCTTTTATCAAGCTGTTAATTCTCTTTTCATAATTTTCTTGCATCATTCTTGTTTCTTTTCCCAATTTGTCCTCTACTACTCTTCTCTCTTTCTTGAACTCTTTTAGGAATTCTTGTTGGATTTGGATCCAGTTAGCATTTTTATTTGAGGCTTTGGTTGTAGCTGTTTTCACACAGGTACCTTATTCTGAGTTTGTGTCTTGGTCTTCCCTGCCCCTGTAGTAGCTTTTAATAGTTCAGTTCTTTTTTTGTTGTTTACTTATTTTTCCAGCATTTTTCTTGACTTTGAATTTTATATTAAAGTTGGGCTTTGCCCACCTGGAGGTAAGGAGGCGCTGTCCCAAGCTTTAAGCTTTTCTGTGATGTTGTTTTCAGAGCTGGTTCTGTGGGTGTGCAAGCTTTTGGTGCTTTCAAGATGGTGTGACCTGGGGAGAGGTGTAGGTACTGCTCTTCTGGTCTGCACTGGTCTTTATCCCGGAAGTGCCCCTGATCCCCTGCAGCTGAAAATGCTAGCATTCCCCTTGATCCTGTGACTATGACCAGGTCCCCTGATCTCTTGTGATCAACTTGTGATCAACCACAAGTGCTCTTGTACACCCTCAAACTGAGACCAGAACTGCATATGAGCAATGGAACTGCCAATCAGTGCCAACTGTACACAGGGCCAGTGAAGGGTCTCCTGTAGTATCTTTCTGCTCAGTTGTCCAGCCCCCTTACCATCTCAGGGCTGAGAGCTCCTGAAGCTGCTGCCACCACCATTATGGCCACCTCCAATGCCTGCTGCTTGTATTGCCACTGTGTTCAATGCACTCTGGATTGGCCCCCACCCTCGTGTTATAGACCTCTTATACTGACCTCCTAAGTTGTCTTAGGCTGGAAAAATATCTCATTCTGACCTTTTGTTGGCTCTGGTGCTCCAAAATTTGAATTGAGGAGTTGTTTTAAAGTTGTTTGGAGGTGAATGTTGGGAGAGTTCGGCTGAGTTGCTGCCTGTACCCCCTTGTCTTCTTCACTACCATTTCAGTTGGTAGGTAGGACTTTAATAAAGAGGGTGGAAGGTGGGCATTTTAGGTATAGAGAATAACATGAGCAAAAGAAATGGAGGCATGAGAGCATAAGGCATGTTCAAGAGACATTCCAGTTTGGCTTGGAGTATCAAGAGTGTAGAAGTATGTGGTGTGTCTACTATAGAGTTGAGACGACACTAGATTGTGAAGGGCCTCTCACCTCATGCTTAACTGAAAACATTGAAGGCATCCATTGTAAGTTCCTTCTCATCTGTCTCCAAATCTATCCTTCAGATCATCTCAGCCTTTTAATTGTTATCCCTGAATCCAGTCTCTCTCCTCTGCAGTCCGTCTTCCATATAGCTGCCTACTTGATATTCCTTTTTTAAAAAACAAGGATTTGTTTTCTTTGCCTCCCATTTCTTCTCACCTCCATTAAGAAGGAAACAATAATTTGTAATATGTACAGTCAAGCAAAACAGATTCCTGAAATGGCCACGTCCAAAAATGTATGTCTGATTCTTCATTTTGAATTCATTATCTCCCTGTCAGTCAGTGGTTAGCATGCTTTATCACTGGTCCTTTCAAATAGTGGGTCAGTGCTTTAATAAGTTGCTAAGTGTTTCAAAATTGTCAAATCAATATTCCTAAAGTATAGGTCCAGCTGTGTTACTCTTCTGCTCAGGAAGCTTCAGTAGCTCCCCGCTGACTTTAGGTTAAAATACAAATTTTATATTAAATTTTATATTTTATTTTATATGTTTTGTATATTTACTTATAATTCCACAACTTGGCATCTGGCTACAGATATTTCCTAGTTGATTGTATATCACTTCTCCTCTCATACTCTACCACCAAACTGGACTGCTTGTTCCTTTTGTGTAACGTTCCATCTTCCACATCTGTGTCCTTTCAGATGCCTTTAATATTCTCTCTTCTCACCTCTACCTCTTTGAATGCCTCTTTTCAAGGCTCAGCTCAAGTAGCATCTCTTTCAACAGAACTTTGCTGATTTCCCAAATTGTTAGTGTCCCTTTGCACTGGTTCTTCTCCACACTTGGAATGCTCTCCCTTCTCACTTTCACGTCTTAGCTTCCCTTGCTTCTTTCCAGCTCAAATGCTAGCTTCTGCAAGACTCTGATAGAATTGAGCCCCTTACCTGCTAGTAGAGCCTTTGCCTGTTAGGTTTACCTTCTACCTACGCTGCATGTATATTATATGTTCCTACTTATATACATGTTGCCTCCACCATTAGAATATAGGCTCCTTGAGTGCAGGGACTCTTTTTGCCTTTCTTTACATTTCTTTTTCTCTCTAGCATTTTTAGGACATTGTCTGGCACATGGTAAGAACTTAATGAATGCTAGTTAATTAGAAGGATAGTGCAAAGAAAGGCACATAAGAATGGGGATATGGTATTTGTAGGTGGTAAATTGGGTAGATGGGCCTGATGAAAACATGGGATTTATTGGGAAGTGGTGATAGGTCTTAGAGTAAAAGATAGTGATAGAAAACAGTTGGACCCATGATTGAAACTTCAGGCATCTTTGACTCACTTTCCTTTGTTTCCCACATTAAATTAATCACCAAATGCTATCTCTTCTTCCTTGAAAATGTTTAATGTTTCTACATCCTTCCTTAGTATTCCTACTATACCCACTGTAGTTTAGGTTCTTGTCACCCCACATATGGTCTCTTGCAATCGTTTTTACGTGATCTCCCTGACCACAGTATCTACTTCTGACTGTAGTCCTTCCTGCATATTATTGCTGGGAGAGTCTTCCCAAATAACAGATCTGATCATGCCACAAACTTGCTTAAAATTTGTTCGTGGCTTCTAATCATCAACCAAATGCCCTCCAAATGCCCTAGCCTGGTCTTCAAGAGTTTGTATGATATGATTCCAACCTTCTTTTCCATCCTTGTCTCCCACAGTTTCTCTGCATGAACTCTGTGTTTTAGTCAAATTGTGTGTGCATATCCCTCAAATATACTCCATGTTCTTCTCTTATCACCCTTACTTCTGCCATCCCCTATGCTTGGAATACCTTCCCCTCATCCGTCACTATTTTAATCTGTTGGAATCCATGGAAGTCCATCTTTTGAGGCTCCACTCAAATGTTTATGAAGCCTTGGGTTTCCCAAATCAGAAACATCCCTCTCTAATCTAATCTCTCGTTGTACTTTTATCAAGTTTCTTCTATGGCACTTAAAGCATTGCTTATACAGGGCTGAATTTAAGGATATCTTTAAAATGCTTTATTGCAAAAGCATGAACAAAAATGTTGCCAACTTTACATTTGCAGAAACTATGAGTACTACATATTTAGACATAAGTATGTAATGCCTGTGAAAAATGAAAAATCATTTTGTCTGTTGACTCTTAACTTGTTTTTTAACCTAGCTTAATAGTCAGCACCTGAAGGTGGGCACTCTTACAGTATTCATTGCATGAATGGATTAATGGGTGAATAAATGAATGTTGGGGAAAATTAAATTCTCTAGCTCATCTAGTCCCAGATTATACTGTCTTACTTTAATTAATCATCATCGAACATAAAATGAGTCAACATGATAATCTTTTGTTCTTGTGTGTCAGGGTTAGGAAAAGACCTGCCCTAGGAAAGAATTCAGAAAATTCAGAATTTCAGCTAGTTCAGCTCTACTCTTTTTCAACTTAACCATGTATTGCAGGCAGACATTCGATCCCGAGAATATATCCGGAGGACTACTGAGCTTGCCAACTCACAAGAAGCAGGGCAAGAGAGGTAGGTATATGACATAAATGGGAATATATGTCTAGATCCCTCCTACTCCTATCCCCCAAAGGGGAATGACTGTGCTTACTATGTTATGAGATTAAAGAGCCAGCTAGGGTTAGTGCCCATAAAGTGATATTTTTATAGGTTTGCTTTGCTTCACCTTTCTCCATGGAAGGCTGAGGTTCAGCGTGAATACTACAAGGGGGAGATTAGACCAGCAGCGTGGGAAATTTTAGAATGGGCCATGCAACAACAGACCAGCTAGTTCCGTTGTGAGCATACAGATATTACTGTGGTTGTCAAGAGGACGGTGAGCAGCTCAGTACACCTCCACAGTAGCAGTCAGGCCAACTAAATTCATAGGCCTATACAGTCTAGAGCCACAAGGGACTTTAGCAGTTCTCTGGTCCAACTCCTTCATTTTACGGGTGAGGAAATCGGGACTTGGAAAGGTCGAGTGACTTGTCCTAGGGTATACAGGTAGTATGTAATAGAAATTGGAGATGTGGATAAAGTCCCCTAACTCAAATCCAATGGTCTTTTCACAATTCTGTAATGTCCCCTTCCATTGCTGGCACTGCCACCAGCCTATTGTATGACCTGCTGTATGACCTTCAGACCAGAAGCTTGTCTAGTCTATCCCTCTGTCACTAAGAGGACTAAACCTGCTTTATCTTCTCTATTTAAAGATTTCTAGGCAAAGGAGGTTTACTCATTTCCCTAGATAATTTAATCCAAAGCCTTGCTACCTCCTATCTTGTAGTTAATTTTCTCTGCTAAACAATTCCTAAGACAGCGTACTTTGAGGTCCTGAAATGAACAGTACAGTTAAGTTAAAATGATTACATTCTCATAGTGGGATGCCAGATACAATATTTATAAAAGTAAAATTTAGCCCTTTGGGACATTGAGTATCTTCAGAGAAGAGTAGAGGGTTGTGTCCATATGACTGGGATAAAACCATTGCTCTGGTTTGATGAGATGATAATAATGGACAAGAGAGAAGGCTGACCTTCTCATCTCTTATTTTTCTCCTGATTTTCTTTTACTTACAAGGAGAATAATCCTTAGATTTGGAAGGATAGAGCAAAAATGACTAATAGAGAATTGAAACCAAAGATAAGATGGAAAATAGTAAGAGAGCACCTAGTTGCCCTTTGATGAGTTCACTTTATAAGCCCAAGACAAACTATGTTCCAGGGAGGTGAAAGAACTGGCAGCTGTGATTGCTGAGTCAATGAGCCTACCCATGAACAATTGATATTTTTCCACTTCCATTTATATCTGACTTCAGTTGTGTAGAAAATATTTTGTAATTTTGTTCATATAGTTCCTGAGTTTGTCTTGGTAGGTAGACTCCCAAATATTTTATATTGTCTGCAGTTATTTTAAATGGAATTTCTCTTTCTGTCTTTTTCCTGGCTGGTCTTTGTTGGTAATATATATGGATACTGATGATTTATGTGGGTTTATTTTTTATATCCTGCAACTTTACTAAAGTTGTTCATTATTTCAAGTAGTTTTTTAAGTTGATTCTCTAGGATTCTCTAACTGTACTGTCCTATTATCAGCAAAGAGTGATAGCTTTCTTTCCTCATTGCTTATTCCAGTTCCTTTAGTTTTTTTTTTCTTCTCTTATTGCTATAGGTAACATTTCTAGGACGATATTGAATAATAGTGGTGATAATAGGTATCCTTGTGTCACCCCTGATCTTATTGGGAAGGCCTCTAGCTTATCCCCATTACAGATAACTCTTTCTGATGGTCTTAGATAGATGCCACTTATCATTTTAAGGAAAGCTCCATTTATTCCTCTACTTTCTAGTGTTTTTAATAGGAATGAGTGCTGTATTTTGTCAAAAGCTTTTTCTGCATCTATTGAGATAATCATTTGATTTTATTATGGTCAGTTATGCTGATAGTTTCTCTAATATTGAAACAGCCCTGCATTCCTGTTATAAATCCCATCTGGTCAAAGTGTATGATCCTTGTGATAAATTGCTATAATCTCTTTGCTAGTATTTTATTTAAAATTTTTGCCTCAATATTCATTAGAGAAATTGGTCTATAGTTTTCTTTCTCTATTTTAGCTCTTCCCAGTTTAGGTATCAGCACCATGTTTGTGTCATAAAAGGAATTTGATAGGACTTCTTCACCTATTTTTCCAACAATTTGGAATAAATTATTCTATAATATTTGGTAGAATTTATTTGTGGACCCATCTGGCCCTGGGGATTTTTTTTTTTGAGGAGTTCATTGATGGCTTGTTCAATTTCTTTTTCTAAGATAGGGTTATTTAAGTATTCTATTTCATCTTCTATTCACCTGGGAAATTTCTATTTTTGTAAATATTCATCGATTTTGCTTTAGATTGTCAGATATATTGGCATATAATTGAGCAAAATAATTCCTAACAGTTGCTTCAATTTCCTTTTCATTGGTGGTGAATTTCCCCTTTTCATTTTTAATACTGATAATTTGGTTTTCTTTTTTCTTTTCTTTAAATAAAAATTAACCACTGGTTTATCTATCTTAATGGGTTTTTTCCATAAAACCAGCTCCTAGTTTTATTTATTATCTCAATAGTTTTCTTATTTTCAATTTTATTAATCTCTTCTCTGATTTTTAGGAATTCCAATTTGGTGTTTAACTGGGGATTTTTAATTTGGTTTTTTAGTTACAAGCCCAGATCATTGATCTGCTCTTTCTTAGACTGTTTTATTGATGTATGAGGTTAGAGATATGCAGTTTCCTCTAAGTATTGCTTTGGCTTCATCCTATAAATGTTGTTATGTTGTTCATTGTTGTCATTCCCTTTAATAAAATTATTAGATTGTTTCTGTGATTTGTTCTTTGGATCACTCATTCTTTAGGATTAAATTATTTAATTTCTAATTAATTTTAAGTCTGTCTTTCCAATGCCCTTTATTGAAGGTAATTTTTATTGCCTTATGATCTGAAAAGGAAGCATTTAATACTTTTGCCATTCTACCTTTGATTGTGAGGATTTTATGCCCTAGAACATGATCAATTTTTGTGTATGTGTGATATACCACTGAGAAAAAGTTATATTCTTTTCCCTCCATTCAACTTTCTCCAGAGGTCTATCATATCTAACTTTTCTGAGATTTCGTTCACCTCCTTAACTTCTTACTTGTTTATTTTGTGGTTAGATTTATCTAGTTCCAAGAAGGAAAAATTGAGGTCTCCCACTAATATAGTTTTACTGTCTATTTACTCCTGTAATTCACTTACCTTCTTTGAGAATTTGGATGCTATATCACTCGGTGCATATGTTTAGTATTGATATTACTTCATTGTCTATTGTATCTTTTAGCAAGATGTGGTTTTCTTCCTTACCTCTTTTAATTAGATCTATTCTTATTTTAGCTTTGTCTGAGATCATGATTGTTACCCCTGCTTTTTTATTTCATCTGAAGCATAGTAGATTTTGCTCTAGCCCCTTACCTTTACTTTGTGTGTTTCTTTGCTTCAAGTGTGTTTCTTGTTAAAAAACAAACACAAACATGTTGTAGGATTCTGGTTTTTAATCTATCTACTCTTCACTTCCATTTTATGGATGAGTTTACCCATTCACATTCACAGTTATGATTACTACCTGTGAATTTCCCTCCATCCCATTTTTCTCCTGTTTATCCTTCTCTCTCTGCTTTCAACCTTTCCCTCCTTACCTGTGTCTTGCTTCTGACCATTGCTTCCCCCAGTCTGCTCTCCTTTCTGTCAGTCTCTCCCCTTTCTTAACTCCCTCCCCTCCTACTTTCCTATAGGGCAAGATAGATTTTTATACCCAACTGGTTGTGTGTGCTACTCCTTCTTTGAGCCAGTTATGATGAGAATAAAGTTCAAGTGATGCCCACTGTGCCACTCCCCCATTCCCCTCCACTATAACAGATCTTTCGTACCTCTTCATGTGAGATAATTTACCCCATTCTACCTTCCCCTTCCTTCTGCTCCCAATGTAATCCTCTTTTCTTGCTCCTTAATTTTTTTGGGGGGGAGTGATAGCATCCCATCAAAGTCACCTTATACTTGCATCCTCTATGTATATTTCTTTGAACTGCTGTAACAGTGATACTGTTCTTAAGAGTTACAAGTATCATCTTCCCTCCCGTGTAGGGAAGTAAACAGTTTAGCTTTATTGAATCCCAAATGTTATCTCTTTCCTTTTTACCTTTTTATGCTTCTCTTGAGTCTTGTATTTGAAGATCAAGTTTTTTGTTCAACTCAGCTCTGGTCTTATCCTCAGGAATGCTTGAAAGTCCTCTTTCATTAAATAATCATTTTCCCCCTGAAGGATTATGCTCAGTTTCATTGGGTAGGCGATTCTTGGTCATAATCCTAGCTCCTTTGCCTTCTTAGAATATCATATTCCATGCCCTTTGATCCTTTAATGTAGAAGCTGCTAAATCCTGTGTAATTCTGAGTATAGCTCCATGATATATGAATTTTTTTTGTTTCTGGCTGTTTGCAAGGTTTTTTTTTGACCTGGGAGTTCTGGAATTTGGCTGTAATGTTCCTAGGAGTTTTCATTTTGGGATCTCTCTTAGGAGGTGATTGGCAGATTTTTTTCAACTTTCAATTTCTATTTTAACCTCTGGTTCTAGGATGTCTTTGATATGTGTTATTTTGTTATTTGTTATTTTGATATTTGTTTTCTTTCATTTTGTTGTTGTTTTAGTCCTTTTTCAGTCATATCCGACTCTTCATGACCCCATTTGGGGTTTTCTTGGCAAAGATACTAGAATGATTTGCCATTTCTTCTCCAGATCATTTTATAGATGAAGAAACTGAGGCTAACAGGGTTAAGTAACTTGTCCAGGGTCACATAGCTAGTAAATATCTGAGGCCGGATTTGAACTCAGGAAAAATGAGCCTTCCTGATTCCAAGCCTGGTTCTCTATCTACTGCTATCTAGCTACCACCTAGCTGCCCAGGCTAGATAATAGCTCACTTGAAAAAACAAGATCTATAGATTGCAAGCTGTACTTGAATCAGTTGAGTGTGATAGATTAGCCAAAAAAGCAAATATGATCTTTTGAAAGAGACATTGTGTTCAGTACTAGGGGGGTGGTAACCCTGCTGTCCTGTGCCCTTGTTGATCATCCTCATGTAGAGTGTCTTGGTCTGGGGGCCAACTTTTTTTGAATAACATTCATGAGCTGGAGCATGTCCAGAGGAGGACAACCAAGATGGTAAAGGGCCATAAGGGCATTATGTATAAGATAATAGTTAACATTTATCTTGCTTTAAACTGTTGCATAATGCTTTTTTTTTTTAATACGTGCTCTCATTTAAGGATTAATTGAAGGAACTAGGAATATTTAGCTTGATTTTAAAGAAGACCTAGAGGGACATGATATCTCTTTCTAATGAAAGTCTTTCATATAGAGGAGGCATTAGGTTTGTTCTGCTTGGCTCTAGAAGGCAGAACTAACAGCAGTTTGCTAACTATTTTACTATTACTAACTGCTAACTAGAGCAGTTAGGTGGTACAGTGGATAGAGCACTGGGTCTGGAGTCAGGAAGATCTGAGTTCAAATCCAGCCTTAGATATTTACTAGCTATGTGACCCTGGACAAGTCACTTACCCCCTATTTGTCTCAATTCCTCAACTGTTAAATGGGTACACACTAGAAGAGGAGATGGCAAACCACTCCAGTATCTTTGCCAAGAAAATCCTGGTCATATAGAATTAGACATGACTAGACAACAACTAGGTACTACTAATTTTACTAATTACTAACAAATTTACCAACAGAGAGTCTCAGAGGCAGATTTCAGTTAGTATAAGAAAAAAATTCCTAGTAATTATAGTTTATCAAAAAAATAGAATGAACTGCATCAGGAAGTAGTGACAAAGGCTGAATGACTATGTGTTGGGCGATATTGTAGAGAGGATTCTTGTTCATGGAAGAATAAGACCAGATGACCTCTGAGGTCCCCTTCAACTCTCGTTCTGTGACTCAGCCACCCCATGTTGTACCCATGCTGCATGTCCCTTACTTCTCAGTCTAGTCTTGCACCAATCCTGCCTGACAGCTCCTCGGTGCTGAGTAGGGGTTGTCAGTGATACCTAGTTGTTGGCTGGCCTGGTAATGACTGAAACTCCCAAGTTCATTTCTCTTTCCATAAGCAGATTGAAAATAACTCCCTGGATGCCTCAGTATGTTGACTAGAGGTTACTCTCAAATGTCCTTGTATTCTTTTCTGGCTCTTCTTTTCAGGGGTCCTGAGGGGCTGAGGGAGAAGCAGAGCCCAACTTTATCCCCTACGAGAGGCTTAGAGGAGTCTGCAGGCGAGGAAGAGCCTCCTGAGAATCCCAGCCCAGGACATCATTCATAGCTCTATGACCTAGGGACAGGCCTCTGAGATCCTATCATTGGGAACCAAGGATGAGAGGAGAGGAGAGCTGTTGTGGACACTGAAAATTCTGAACATCTCTCTCTGGCAGATGTGGTCGAAGGAAAAGGCAGTTGAGTAGGACTAAAACCTGGCTCTCAGGAAAAGTCTTACAAGAACTCAGTGCTTCATGTGATTTCAGAACCTTGAATAACCACAGTGAGCTTAGCCTGCCATGATGGGAAGACCTTTTGCACAAGTCAGTGTGTTTGGCCCCATGCTCACCAGACACGACTCAGTGTTTGAGTGATTCAGAGCCTTCAAAATAGCCACCCCTCACAAGACATAACACAGGCCACCTAACTTGCAGTAGCAGCAATATTTACCATGTAGGCTAGGCTAGTTCTCCTTCAAAGGTGTTCAAATGGCCCTTGAGACTTGATTGACTAGGGAACCGCGGCTTGAAAACTGGTCTGTTGTCACATCCTGGTGGTCTGAATACACAAAGCCAGCACTGGGGGGGAAAGCAGCACCCAACTGAATCATTTCGCTGTGGTGACCAAGTATAACCCCCTTTTTAAAACTATTTATTAACTGTTGGATAACTGCAGTCTACTAATTTCATTTTAATTCTGAACTGGAAACCCCAGCCTGAATCAGGCCCAGCCTACAACACTACACTAACACTATCATGCTGTGGTCACGCAGCCTTGGGAACAGCCAGTCCATGTGTTCAGCAGAAGACAGATCTCGAGAAGGCAGAGAGCCAGCCTCTCTCTGGAAAATTTGTGAGGCTTTTTTTCATTTGGAGACAAGAAATGGGACTTACTTTTCAAAGAAAAAATTCAGATGAAAAAATAATGATCCAGCTCCTGTCTACCCATTGTTACCTCATAGAGTGGATGACCCATGCCTTCCTGCCTCTTGCCCAGCTCCCTAACACACCATGGACCAGCCCCATCTCATTCCCCAAGGCTGGCCAATCTCTGGCATCTCATAAACACATAGGGGGAGGGGAGAAAGGGAGAGAGTTACCTAATCACCAAGCTCTTGCTGGCTCCAACAGACTGAAAGAGGGTGCCGTGGGTGGGTGGGAAACACACAGAGGGAACTGCACCTGCCAGCAATCTGCTCAGTGAATAAAGTCCTAGTCTCTGCTACCTGAGAATGAGTTTTTAGGCACTTAGAGAGGCAGCCAGGCTCAGCTGCCCTGGACAATGGATGGAACAGTTCCTGTTCTACTTAGAATATTAGGGCCAATAACCCCTTGCTTCTTGTATTCTGTTTTCCCTACTTTGCTGCCTCTGGCCCATTACCCAGTCCCAGAGTTCTGGCTTCAGAACTCATTTCCACAGCCCAAACTTGGCTTTGCTTTTGTACTTTTGCCCAGTGCTTTCCTAGACCAGATAAACACAAGGACTAATAACCTGCCCTGATGCCTACAATAGCTGCATCTTGGGGTGGTTTTGTCACCCCAGTAGGCAAACTCGAAGAAATCACCCAAATGGAGGGTGTGAAGGTGGGATGCAGCCAGAGAAGAAGGGAAAACTCCCTTTGAGTAACTCAGTGCCAGCAGTTGGTGCCTGTGCTAAGCAACCTACCATCCTTCGTGTTAACTGCCTAGCAGAGTGAGGAACTCTGATCCCCAGAATCAACAGTGCCTGCCCTGCCAGCCTGGAGCTAACACAGCTTTGGTTTGGTGCAGTGGGATTTGCCAGCACATCCTGCTTCCTAAAGAGCTGAAAATGGTTTGTTTCTCCCATATTCTTTCTAACTCCACATCCCAGATTTACTCTTAACAAATAACTCTTAAGTATCGAGAAGTTTGTGAGTGTATTTGTTTTGTTAAATTTTTATCTTTGATTTTTTCATTTTAACCTCCCTGGAAATGAATGGTTTGTGAGTTTCATTTAACAGATGGGGAAACTGAGAACCAGGGAGGAAGACTTGCCTGAGACCCCACATAGAATAAATAGGTGTTGGATCAGGGGTTTTAACTCCCCGTCCAGTGTTCATCTTGTCATTTTTCTTCCATTTTAAATGAAGTTTAATAATGAGAAGGGAGCTATTCTGTTGTCTTTAAAAATAGACTATGCAGTAGACTGGAGAAATGGGAAGAAACAGGAGAAAATGAAGAAGGGAAATTTTATGTTTAGGGAATGCCACTTGCTGTTCCCATTTTCTCCTTTTCCCTGGATTTCTCAATCATTCTTTTGTGAAGCCTATTTGTCAGGTTGCAGGGTGTGGAAGATTGGTATGGAAAAAATGTAAATTTGAAGGGAAGTTTGAGCCTCTCTCCAGGAGTACTATGTCATCTTGCATGTTGAACATGTAAAGTTGCTTTCACACTCCTACTTGGGAACTGGTGACCGTTAAAAATGGTCAGGAAAAGCACATCTGTTATGGGATTAAAGTCTGTAGCCTCACAGATGCCCCTAAAACTTCCACCTGGTGAACAGGATAGAATGAGAGGAACTGGGCCTTCCCTTAGACTCTTTTCCTTAGGATTCAGGGGGCTTCTCTGTCTAGGGGAATCCTGCCCCACTGGAGGCAAATGCCTCCTGGGGACTGGATTCAGGTCAAGTGTCACGTTTTAACTTCTTATCCTGCCTGGCATCACATCTTCCAAACCACCTGCAGTGACATATCCTGCCTTTGGCTTGGTTGCACCCTCCCTTTCTCTCCTCTGTGCTTTCCTTAACCCCACTACCCCACTACTTGTTTCTCCTTTGCTCCATTTTTCTTTTTCTCCTTCCACTGTCTTCTTTTGTCTTCTCTCTCCTCACTTCTCCCCTCCACCCTTCTCTATTTCTCCTTTCCCTTTTCTTTCTTTCCTCTAGCTCCTTCCTTATTTTCCTGAGATACTGTAAGTAATCCTAATAGTCAATATTTGAATATCACTTTAGGTTTGAAAAGTGCTGTACATACATATAAAGGTCAGAAACATCCCAAAAGCTGAGGGCCCTCCAGGTAACACAAGCTACTGTACTTCCCCAAATCAGTTTTTCTTTCCATTGTATTTCAGATAGTGAAACCACTCTATGTGCATAGGATTCACCAGGTTTGCCTTTTTGTGCCCTACTAGTTTATCTGAAATCCTGCCAGGCCCTGTAGGATTGCCCTTGTCTTCTGAGCCTTGCAAACCTCCAAGGCCAATCCCCTGAGCATTGTCCTAGACCATAAGAGCCTTAGCCTGATCTTTTTCTATTGGATTTATCTTTTACTTCCTTTCCTATTTCAGGTGCTCTATGGGACTAGGGCTTAACTAGTGACCTCCCACAATCCACAGCAGAACAGAGAACATGAGTCCCCAACCTCACCTTTTAACTCCTCTGATTCCCTCTTCCAGCTGAGCTCTGGGAAGGCATGGCAGGGTTAAGCTTGTGCTATTTAGTTCCCTGCCTTGGAACACAGGGAGAAACAAGAATCACTTACTAATTCCCCTGCCAATACCCAATGTCCCTCCTCAACTCCTGCCTCCAAATCCCTGACCAACAGTGTCTCTGAATCTGCTCAGTTGAGACATACTTTCTCAGCAATGATAGAGGCAGGTACTTTCAAATCGCTTCAGAGAGGAGGGCAGCCCTATTTCCTTAGCTTTGGGGGTTGGAATGGGGGAGTGGGTGGATAATAAGGCATTTATAATCATTTGTTTCTGGCTCTTATGCACTTTAGATTCTAGCCAGAACCCAAAATGTGAAATCTCCTCAGTCCCTGGAACCCAGTAGAACTCCCACCACATTTTAGAAATAGGAACAACCTCATTTCTCTTCCCTGGGTGTCCTGCCCCTAAGACTCTTCTTTGTCTGCAGTTTGACTGGGGCTGGGTTAAGAAATCCCATCTCATCCCTGGAGTGGAGTGGGAGGATACCAAGAGGAAGAGAATAATTTTCCCTTTACCACACTCCTTTTGGCCCCTGCATGGCTTCTCCCTGCCCCAAATGAACAGTCCTAGCCAATATAACTGACATAGTGCCTATTACAGGTAAAGCAGGAGAATCTGCCAACAAGCATTAATTAAATTCTTACTGTGTTCCAGGTACTGTGTGAGGTGCTAAGGACCCAAAGACAAGTGAACCAGCTTCTTTGAGGAGCTTATAGTCCAGCCCAGGGAGACAACATATACAGGTAGATGTTGTACAAAATAGATATATCTCCCTTGGTGAGCTCATCAGCTCTTACAGTTTCAATGCAGATGATTGTCAGATCTATGCATTCAGCCTCTACCTCTCCTGAGTTCCAGTCTTTAATCATCAACTGACTTTTGGACATTTCTAATTGGATGTCTCAGAGGTATAGCAGAGTCAACATGTCCAAGACACACCTCATTTTCTTTTACCCAAAAGCCACGTCTTTTTTTTAACTTGCCTTTTTCTATAGAGGACACCACCATTTAGGTGAATTGAGTGCTGGACCTGGAGTCAGAAAGACCCGAGTTCAAATTCAGCCTCAGACATTTACTACCTGTGTGACCTTGGGCAAGTCACCTAACCTGTGTCTGCCTCAGTTTTCTTATATGTAAAATGGGGAATAGTAGCACCTTTCTAACTTGCTCTCCCTCCCTCCAAACCTTAAAGTGCTATCGAAGTGCTGGCTGGTATTAGTTACCCTTTGAAATCACTTTAACTAACAATAAATAGCAATGTAATAATTATTTAATATGGTGTGTGCAAATAAAGTCAAATTTGAATCAACCAGTTTGGGTGTGATCTGTCAGCTTCACCATGAGGTTAATTGCCATTGGCTCATCACACAGGTGGATTGTTCCATTGCATTTGAACAAGAAATGCATAGACTTGAAGTTAATCTTTCTGTGAAAGTGAAAAGTACCATAATATATATTTCTCAACATCATTTATTTTGGTAAGTACAATTAATAAGCCAATCTCCAGTTGAAATACTCTAAGAATTGTTGCGGGAACATGGCATGTAGCCTGTTGGCTTAAGCCATTGGGCAGTTGCTACCTGTGTGAGCTGAATTAGGCAAGTTATTTCACTTCTTGGGTCTGTTTCCTCATCTCTAAAATGAAGGGGTTGGACTGGATGGGATTGTAACTCGAAATTGATGATTGAATGCTCCTAGACAGTTTAGGATTAAGATGCCGTAGAGGGTAGCGGGGGAGAGGCCAGCGTGTTCTCCTGGCTCTCTCCCTATCTGTTCCTCTGATAATGGATCCTTAAAATGTCCCTCCCTTGCCCTAAGAATGACTCTTTCTATGTTCCTTCCTAGGTAATGGGAAAGCAAGGTCTCTCCTTTTCTTAGGGGGCAGACCCTGGTGGAGAGGAACAGGTGAGTTCAGGAGCAGTGTTAGAATGGTGGTTAGGGAAGGAGGGAAGCCTTAGCAAGTGTTCCTCCATTCATAAAATAAACAGAGAAACTCTGATGGGTGTGACTGGAATGGACTGAAACTGCTGACTAGTCTCATTCTCATCTTTGAGATCAAAAAAAGGTTTCTTTCCCCCTTCACCTTTTGCTCTCAGACATTTTCCATATGATTCTCTATTATCTAATTTATGATTTGTCTTACATAAAATTATGTTGGATCATCATTTTCTGTGATTCATGTCTATATATTATTTTTATACAGGGGTTTTTCAGTGGAGGAAGCCAATAAATAGCTTGTAATAGAGAGATAAAGAGGCAGAGAGGACAGACCTTCTCTGTCTGTCTGGGGCAACAGAGAAATATTTTCTTCCCTGCTCCTCCTCTCAATTTTGGACTAATACAAGTGAGAAAGAATATTATGGTCTTTAGTTTATGAATAATTGTTATAAGCACCGAATAGCAGAGATAAGTGAACCAAATGACTCAAGACCATTTACCTCAGGCTATGGAATAAATGAGTAGGCAAGGGTTTCAGTAAAGTTTCCAGCCTCTGGATTGAGGGGCAGAGAGATGAGAGATGTGGACCAAGGGAAGTTCAACATTTGTCCATCCCACCCCCATACATACACCTCCCGGTGGGAGTAGAAAAGTATGGTATGAAAAGAATGCCCAAATTCTTGGGAAATACCCCAAATTCCAAAGGTTGGGAGGGGGATGGGAAGCTATTCCATAGATCATTTATCAAGCACCTACTATGTGCCAGGCACTGTGTTAAGCACTGGGGGATATAAAAAGAGGCAAAAGACATTCCCTGCCCTCAAGAAGCTCACAATCTAAGAGACAACAAACAGAATTGTGCAGGCAAACTACATATAGGATAAATAGGAAATAATTAAGAGAAGAAAGGTACTAGAGTTAAGAGAGGACAGGAAAGGCTTCCTGTAGAAAATGAGATTTTAGCTGAGACTTAAAGGAAGCCAGGGAAGGCAGGAGGCAGAAATGAGGAAGGAGAGCATTCCAGCCAGAGAAAATGCCCAGACTGAAAGAGGAAGTATCTTGTTTGTGGAACAGCAAGGAGAACAACTGTTGCTGGATGGAAGAGTGTGGGGTGAGGAGTAAGGTGTAAGAAGACTGGAGCAGCAAGGTTATGAAGGGCCTAAAACTCTAAGTTGGGGATTTTGTGTTTGGTCCTGGAAGTGATAAGGAGTCAATGGGATTTATTGAGTGGGGTAGGAGTGGGGGCCATGGCTCTTTAAGAAATCACTTTAGGCTGAAGGGAGAATAGATTGGAGCAG